CAACATCTTTATCATCGCCATCTTTATCGTGTTGTCTGACGTGGTCTTTGAAGCTGACTTTTTTAATAACAAGCAAAACAAATAAGCTAATCGACAACAGCTATCAGTAATGGCCAAAGTTCTTCACGAATCGGTGACTCAGACGACTCAATATTCGCGACCTTTTTATGATTGTTATAATTGTTATCATTTTTGTTACTGTTATCATTATTGGTATTGGTGTTGTTCATGTTGTTGCTGTTATTATTATTATTATTATCATTATCATTAGTACTATTGTTATTATCATTATTGTTATTGTTATCATCATTGTTATCATTATTATAGTCAGTATTAGTATTATCATCATCTTTATCATCATCATTATCATCATTATCATCGTCATCATCATCATCATCATTCATCTTCATTTCATCATTATCATCATCAGCATCATCATTATTATCATCATCTTCATTATCATCGTCATCATCATCACCATCATCATTATTACCATCCTCTTCATTATCATCATCATTATTATCATCATCATCATCAGCAGCAGCATCAGTATCATCATCATCACCACCACCATCATCATCATTATTATCATCATCATCACCATCATCATCATCATCGTCACCTTCCTTCTGACCTTGTTGCAAAGGGACAACATTCATTCGCCAACGTATGAATGTTGACCGAATGAGTTTGATGATGATAATCATGATGATGATGATGGTGATGATGATGATGATGATGATGATGATAATGATGATGATGATGATGATGATGATGATGATGATGATGATGATGATGATGATAATGATGATGATGATGATGATGTCTCTTGGTATCGACGCTGGAATCTGGTACCAAGTTTCTTATGGTATTTGTGGATGGGTTGGAGGGTTAAGTGGCGGTGGGATAGTTATATATATTTTTTTTTATGTTTTATCTTTTATTTGTACTTTTTTGTGATTCTTCTTTGTCTCTGGTTTGTAGCTCTCTTTCTTTCTTTCTATATTTCTTTCTCTCTTTCTCTTTCTTTCTCTTCTTCTTTCTTTCTTTTCACTCACTTTCTCTCTCTCTCTCTCTCTCTCTCTCTCTCTCTCTCTCTCTCTCTCTCTCTCTCTCTCTCTCTCTCTCTCTCTCTCTCTCCTCTCTCTCTCTCTCTCTGTCCTCTCTCTTGTCTGTCTTCTCTTTGCTCTCTCTCTCTCTCTCTCACTTTCTCACTTTCTCTCACTCTCTTCTCTCTCTTTGTCTATCTACCTATTCATCTATCTATCTGTAAGTCTATTAATATGTCTCTGCTCTTTTCCCTCTCTTTCTGTTTGTCTCTTTCTTTATCCCTCTCCTTCTCTATCTCTCTATTTATCTACTATTTATCTTATCTATCATCTATTCATTATCTATCATCTATCTATCTATCTATCTATCTATCTATCATCTATCCATCAATATAGATACACCGAAAGCTGCCTCCATGACATCTTCCTCGACCTCGACCTCCACTCACACTCTCGCCCTCTAACCTGAGCAGCGAGGACGTGGCGTTGTCCTCGAGGATGTCGAGCACGACCTTCCTCATGGCGCGCACCAGCTGGTCCACCACCGCATCCGGCACTGCAACTTCCGGGCAGTTGCAGCAGCGGGCGCGGGTCAGGGTCGGCGCCGATGACGTCACGCGGCCCACCACGCTGTTGCCCTCGGCGTCGGTCGTGGCCAGGAACTCCCTCGGGGGGACGCTGGGGGGGGGAGAGTGTTTGGTCTGAGGGTGGGAGGGGGAGAGTGAGTGGTGTGTGGGGGGAGGAGGGAAGTGAATGTGTGGGGGAGGAGAGTGAGTGTCTGAGGGGAGGGGGAGGAGTGTCTGAGGGGAGAGGGGGGAGAGGTGAGTGTCTGAGGGGAAGAGTGGAGAGGGTCTGAGGGTGAGTGTGAGTGTCTAGGGGAAGGGGGAGAGTGTGAGAGTGTGTTGTAGGGGGAGAGTGGAGAGGGAGTGAGTGGAGGGGGGGAGAGTGGTTTGATAGGAGATGTGATTGATGGAGGGATTAAGACGATGATGATGGAGGGAGAATGGAGGAAGAGATGAATGGGAGGGAGAAATGGTTGAAGATGTGAGGGATATAGAAGACGGATGGAGAAGTAGAGGAAGAGGGAGAGAATGGTACTATGGACACGGTGAGTAAAGGATGGAATAATGATAATCATGATAACGATAATAATAATGATAATAATTATAATAATAATGCTGAGGACGAGGAGAAAGAGAATAACGAGAAGATAAAGAAAGGAAGGAGGAAAAGAAGGCAGAAGGGGAGAGACGAAGGAAAAGAAGAAAATGAAGAAAAAATTGAAGATGGGACGCGAAGACAAGGATTAGACCGAAACGAAAAGCAGAAGAATAAATACACTTTTTTTAAGGATGAAGAAGAAGAAAAAAAAAAAAAGGAAAAACTTAATCGGTATGAAATAACAGACTCCATAATGAGACGAACTTTTAGAGAAAGACGACACACGGAAA